TCTCATGACATGGGTGCACTCACATACATGCAGGCAATACACACATACATATAAAATAATAAATAATTTTTTAAAAGGCATGGTTTAGTCACAAAAATACTTAGAATATGTTTTCTGTATGGGGCTCTTTTTCTTCTACTTACTAAAGGCAAGATTCAAACTATTCTGTAAACAAATGAGTTTACTGTATCTATAGAGACATGGAACACTGAGACTTAAGAAAATCAAGGAATAAAGTTTTGTTCTTTACTCATTGCCGGGATATATCACATGATTTCTGCCCATAGCTTTGTTTCACTTTTAACGTACTAAGATTGTTTGATATCGTGTACTATGACTACTACCAAGTGCTGTGTACTTTGATCTGTTAACAAATTCATTTCTTATTACTAAAGTTTGGTGAGACATAAAAATATTTATTTTCCCCAAATAATAATGAACAAAAAATGTGCTACGACCTGGACTCTGATCCGCCAAGGTTTCCGTCCGAAGGATCAGGACAAATGCAATTAGCTGGAGCTTCATCTTGTTAATGGGGCCTCTTTTACTCTACAAAAAGCACAATATGAATTATATGCAATACTATAGCAGGAACTATTTACAGGATGGTTAGATTCAAGCACAGAACACCTAAAAATATTCTTGAACAAATGGAAAGTGCATTTATGAAGCATTCATCAAGTATTAAATTAATCCTCCCAATAATCTTAGAGAGATACAATTATTGTAGCTATGTGACAGACAGGGAAACTGGGGGACAGAGTGTCTGGATAAGTGGTGAATCCAGAATGTTCCCCAGACTCAAGGATCACCACACCCAAGCTCTTCAGCCCAGTGCTGCTTTACAAGACCTGCTTGCTCTTCGCAGAATTCTGTGTTCACTCTTCTTCATCCTCTGTTACCATGCTAACAATGACCATTGTCCATTTAATAACTTTTCCAAGAAGCCAACAGCTATTCATGTTTCCTCCATTAAATACTTGTGAATGCTGCTGTCCTGGGTATGGGAATAACCTGTACCAGTTCATTTTCTCATTATGGGACCACACACCTGATAAGCAACTTAAGGGAAGAAACATGCATTTGGACTCATGGTTTGAGGGAGACATGTATGAGACTGTCTCCTCACATCTTAACAAACCAGGAAAAAGTGAGGGGACAGGAAGTGGTGTGGAGCAGTAAATCCCTAGACCCACCCCCCAGTGATCCATTCCCTCCAGCTAAGCCCCGCCTCCCAAAGGTTCCACAACCTCCAAAAACAGCATCGCCAGCTGAGGACCAAGTATTCAAACACATGAGCCTTTGAGAAACATTTCACAACCAAACCATACTACAATGAGTTTACAAATTACACTAATTTATCATTTCTCTCCTGCTAGTC